AAGCATGTGTATAAACAGGCATATGTGTAAGCATGTGTATAAACAGGCATATGTGTAGATCTGTGTAAGCATGTGTATAAGCAGGCATGTGTGTAAGCATGTCGCCCACAGTGCTTGGCCTTTTCTCTCTCTGTAGAATTGCTAGCAAAACTGATTGACGATTGTTTTGGAAGCTTCAAAAGGGCGAATGAAAAAAAGCGCAAAAGCAGTAACCCCGCCCACCTGCCAACCAGCTAGGCCTATATGCCGGTCAATGACCTTTTTCTTCTCTAGCCAGCACTGAGAGGTCCTTGTCCGTCTCCCTCCCAGCCCACAATGAGGTGGGCTTCTGTGAGCAGATACTAGGCTGCGCTCAGTTCTCCATTGCTATTCATTGGCACAGTCATTTTTGATGGATACAAGACAGCTCATCTACTGATTACCAGTAATGCAATTCTGTCCCCACCACCCTCTGCAGCTTTGTGCAAGGCCAGCAGTATGTCGAGTTAATACAGACTGCCTGGATGTTGGGGTTTTTTGACACGCGTGTTTTTGCGTGACAGTGAATCTTCGTATAGAACGAGCCCCCTAGCAACACAGACCACTCCTAAATCTGACTCCTGAGCTGTTTCTCGATATCAAGAACGTGAAGATCGTACTTGTGGTCTTGGCAAGATCGGTCTTGCTAGCTTGCCTCAGAACAACGAACTTGGGTTACAATAAATCATGGGATTGGTGAAGTTTGACGAGGATGCAACTGATGTATCCTTGATATTTGGGGCAGGGCAAGAACAGCATCTGGGGATTTTTACCGTCCTCTGTACTTATGTTCTTGAGTATTGGAACAGGTCTTCGGCAATGGAAGTATGGTCAAGTATGCATATTGGGAAAGACCCCTGGACTTGGCTCTGTGCTGGAGTGTACTGCTGGATATGGATCTCATGCGACATGTCCCATGAACCCTACAGCTAAAAGAAAGAGTGAGGAAAACTTGCCTTTAGTTCACAGTGTTCCAACTGAGGCTATTCAGATCAAACCCCCGGAAAGTTCAGACCCGTTACGAATGTCTGTCCAGCTCGCCATCTAAGCCTACAGCACCTTGATGCACCTCAGAACAGGGATCCAGAACAGGACTTTTGCCTTGAAGGTGACAGGTTCAAAGCTCCTTGGTGGAGATGTACCGTAGCCCAGACCATCACGTCACACTGTAAGGAGCGGCCAGAACATTTTTTGACACTCCGTACGACAGCAATTGCTCTGCATAAAAGCGATTCAGAAAGTCTTTAAGAAGAGAGAAATACAGGTTTGCCGGCAGATATCTGTAAAAATGATAAAAAGCTTGGAATACAGTGCCCCCCACCCCCAGTCACCTTGGGGCCTGGAATGGATGCGATCATCTCTCATCCCATGAGAAGCCGCCCCTTCAAACGAAAATTCCAGATACTCAGGTGACCTCCATCTCCCCAGTGCCTTCACCACTCCTTATTGCCAGTTTATTCGCATGGCGACTTTGAGGCAGCAGTGAATAACAGCACATTCTTATAACGGCATGTTCTTATAGCGGCGCACTCTTATGACGGCGCGCTCTTATGACGGCGCGCTCTTATGGCGGCGCACTCTTATGACGGCGCGCTCTTATGATGGCGCGCTCTTATGGCGGCGCGCTCTTATGACGGCGCGCTCTTCGCTGCTTGGTCCTGATGGGAAACAGGTGAGCTTGCGGCATGTTCCCGCGACCGATGCCACACGCGGCCCAGCAGACCGAATGCCTGGAGGCTCTTAGAACTTTGCCTCTATAGATTTATTTTAAAAGCTGTTGCAGTGTGCATGCACATACACTACTGCGCGACACATAAATGGGTTTGTGCAACATATATGGCGCTCTCTCTGTCAGAGATGCTTTTTGTGGGGCAGGAGAGAGCCACAAAACATCTTGCAGCTCTATCTAATTATCAAATTAACCTAAATAAAAGGCATACCCAATAAAGCCTGTTTAGCCTTCAGCAAAGGAGACTAAGGGGGGATATGATTCAGGTCTATAAGATTCTAACGGGTCTGGATGCTGTTCAGCCAAATTACTATTTCAATTTTAGTCTAAATACTAGAACTCGTGGCCATAAGTGGAAATTAGCGGGAGAACATTTTAAAACAAATTTGAGGAAGCACTTCTTTACACAGCGTGTAGTTAGAGTATGGAATAGTCTTCCTGCTAGTGTAGTGGAAGCTAAAACCATGGGTTCCTTTAAATCAGAGCTAGATAAGATTTTAACAACTCTGAGCTATTAGTTAAGTTCTCCCCAAACGAGCTTGATGGGCCGAATGGCCTCCTCTCGTTTGTAAATTTCTTATGTTCTTATGTTCTTAAAGCCTATTCTCTAAACAAATACTGAATAATGCTGATTATGGGTAACATTAATACAATGAGCACCAGCATGGCTCAAAACCCATACAAATGTGTAGCAGGTTGGTGATCTAACTTAAAACCCTGTGTCAATATTAAAGCTGTGTTCATCTGCTGCAGCGTCTGTGTGTGACACACAGCGGCCTATTCCAGCTGCCGAGTGAGTGAATCAAAACGGAAGATGTCATGAGAAGCTCTCCCAGACCTATTGGGAGTGTCCCCGGCAATCATAATGCCCTTTCCTACCCCAGGAACTTTCCTCAGGAACTACTGTCACATTCCCACTGTAGGAACTCAGCCTGATCATAGTTCCTGGGAGGTAGTTCCTAAAACGTGTTTAGTACCTACTCCAGACTTGTGCTTTTCATTCTACCAGGAATTCATCCTCCATTGGTTAGGGGTAATTATGCGTTAAGTTTTTTGCATCTCCCATGCAAGTTCAGCATAAAAGTCCCAGTTCCAGTTGTGCAGTAAGAGAGTGACATACAAATGCGGACAGGAAGTGCAAAATTCAGTCTAAATAAAATGAAAAAACAGGAATACAAGACAAAAATAGAATAAAAGGTCAAAAACATAAACAATAATGAAAACTAATAATATAGTATAAACAATAATTTTAAATATATAATATAGTACTATATAATATAGTAATAATATAGAATAATAGGGACTGATCAACAAAATCGTAAAGTACATTGGTGGTAAAGGAACACAAGCAAATAAAAGACAAAAGTGATAAAAGAACAATAAACAATGACGGGAGTATAGTGCGGAATGAAAGCCCGCCGACGGAGGAGCGCCCTGAGCACAGCCTCGCCGGCTTCTTTCATTCGCTTTCAGAACGACATCCAATGGATCTCCAGCCAATTCGCAGCCATAAAAGCCACTGTGTGTGTCCTCTGATCCGGGGGCGGGGGCACAAAGAGGGGTGACGGTCCTCTGGGATTGAGGTCCATCAGCTCCATCCAGGGACTCACTCTCTCAGTTAGTGTTGTATTTCCTGAATGGTGGAGTTGAGCCCTTTAATTTGTCATTAAGCAGAAACAGATGCTAATGCCATTTCTCCCCCCGTCGCACAGGGTAGACGTATCTATCAGTGCCATTCAGAAGATGAATAGTCACTAGAATTGCCTCTTCTGATGGCTCTCAATGGGAAAACAAACGCCCAGCAAATCACACCTTGCTGCTGTAGTAGACGTCCCATACAAAATTTATCATCTGAATATTATTCATGGTTGCCCACTTCCACGTGGGTGAAATACCTAAGCATTTTTATGTGGGGAAGCATATTTATTGCATTGATTTTCACTGGTGTGTTTAATTGTGTGCCCGCGGCTTCTCCAGAAACGACCACCCAACGTGTGTGAGTGTGCAGGGGAGGCCTCCGTTCAGCTGCCCACGTTTCCGTGTGCCTCCACTTAGCTGATGAAGCGCTGTGTCAACAAATTAGCTGCGAGATGAAAGTCTATTACTCCAGAGCCGGTATACTCTCTCCAACCCGAGCCGTGGAGAAACGTTCTACAGGCTAGGGTGTTGTGCCCTTTTGTGGCTGCAGGTGGTGCGATGGTTAAGGAAATCTGTCTAGGAGGGACAGGAATTCCCGCAAAGCTGGAAGATGTCTTCATAGTGGGTGGAGAAGTGCTGCAGTATTACTCAGCTAAGTGATGACTTGATTGTTCTGTTCACCGGCATATAACCGTTTTGGATACAAGCATAGTTCGGATACAAGTGTAGTTGCTCCGTCACTGAGCATCTCTGTTAGGGGTGGCTAACTCGTTCAAGATGCCACCGTGGGGGTATCAAAATCAATGATGTTTGTCTTGTAAGCCCGAGTACAAGGAATCTGTTGTGGTATAACTGGCTACAATACAGCTATAAACAAAATAAAATTGCAAAAATAACATAGTAATAAGATACACAACAGCCAACCAGCAACAGAGTATATACAGAAGCAAAACAAGATATTTTGATACGACGCAGTGGGACAGAATGACATGGGATGTGAAAGAGAATAGAGAGAGACAGCAGTATAAAAATAGATTTATCTTTTTTCCACCAAAGTGGATGACTGGACCCAGTGTCTGATATTCTGCTTACCCAACAAACGCATATTGTTGGCAAGTCAAAGAAGAGTATATAACATTCTCTGCTTTGCTGCAGAGAAAAAATTACCCAAACACTGGATTTACGGAAGGATCCCTTCCTTAAAGAGATGGCAAAGGATCATACCAGAATGGGTTACACTGCGATATCTCACAAATGTACCGCACAATAAAGCCAGTGACTTTTAGAACTTATGGCAACCTCATTTTAATCATTCGCACCCAGGTCTTCCTGCAGTGCCGTTGCAGAGCTTCTTAAAGGAAACAGCATACACTGGATGTGTGGTGGGCGAGTTGATTGCGTTAAATATGCTGAGCCAGTTTTACTATGGTACTATGTGTAATGAACCCTGTGTAACTGAGCTGAGCTTTTTTTTTTTTTTTACTTTTCACTTTTTTGTCCATGGTTATGTAATTTGCGTGATGTTGTTTAATTCTAAAAATCCAAATAAAACACAATTGACAAAAAATGTGGATGAATAATGAGGAAGATGGAACAATGGAATGATTGACTGGACAGAATGAGAAGGGGGTTGATCCCATAAGGTGTAATGAGCTACACAGACAAGGCGGTTATGAGCTTCTCAATCATCCACCAGAGTCTCAGAAGTTGCTATAACTGCCACTGTGCCAATCAGAACCAGCCCTTGGTTCAGAATGGTGCTACTGAACCACCAAGTTTTAAGTTTCTCCATCCAAATCAACCCTAACCTTTATGACAAACTGATTATTTAGTATGATTTACAGAATCAGATGGAGGATCAGGCAAGAATCTGTCATAAAGATCTTTATAAAGTGGCCATAAGTCTCTAGGATTTTCCATTCAATCCATAAATTCAGTATTTCATGATGAGAGCCTCCGTGTGAAAATAATGAAGCGAGGCGCGATCTCTCCTTACTCTGGACCCAGACAAGTACATAGATGGGTATCAACACGGAAAGCAAGTATTTATCGGTGGAAGAGTAAAGGTAATTGAACCACTTAGAGATAGTACGCTAATAGATGTGTATAGCCTTCCCGATCTGTTTCTGGGCAAATCAATTACATTGAAGGGAAAGGGGCGATCCCTTTGTTGTTAGGCAGTCCACAAATCGGTCTCAGTGCGTTTTTACAGTAAACTGTCTCAAGGATACATTCATCGAGCTGCACGCATCGATTTATACTAAGTAGAAACTGGTTAAACGCTTATGGTTTTTTCCAACTGTCCCATTATGTCTTACTTGGTGACAACTGAACACTTGGCAACAAACGTGGCAAAATAACAACTGACTCAATTAAGACCTGCGACAGGTAAACTGTATTTGGTAACTAATTACAACATACAATGGCACCCTATAATAAAGACATTTTAAAACAAAGCCAGATGTTACCCCTCCAATGATACAACTGAATACGCATTAATTCTGAAATTTCACTAAGGGGGGTTATGACAAGGCTCTGCTGTGAGAAATAATTAAACAACCACATAGTCCCACACGTAATTATCGCTGTGTTGGAATGTCGGGTCCTCAACTTCTCTATTATTGTAGCCTAGAATCGTAAAAACAATCCGAATCACAGCACTCAATCGGATCAAAATCCAAATTCTGAGGATTAGGACTGTTTAGACAACAGAAACTGTTTCCCCAGCATTTGATCTTTATTTTACTAATTTTACTCCAGTCACCCCACAAAGTACGTTAGCAGATTTCGACTGAAAGCACTTAGACCTTAACAGGTGGATTTAAAGGATTTAGTGCAGGTGAACTGCTCCGCATTACTTAAATATCCATTAATTCTTCTCTAGGTACAATATCAAAATATTTAAAACCAAAACTAGTTTCTGTACTTCTAAATAATAATAAGCACATTCAGAACCATTCTGAAAAGCATTTGCAAATTGTACTGGAATATTCTCCACGGTCGGGTGCCGTGAGTCACTTACCGATTCTGAGTACTTGCTGAGAACTCGGACAAAACTCCGCCATAAAGTAAAATAGGGAAAATAACAGTCTCTCCCTTTTTTCCATAGTTCTAGAGTCGAATTTATCAATAATCATTTTATTATCATTTCATTTATGATGATAATCTGCCGTTCCTCTGCGCATTCCGCAAATAATTTGTGTTCCAAACATCCATCGCCTTTCAAAGACCATCCTTCGGTCAGAAGAAAAAGAACATTATTTGTAGGGAGCTTTTTCCACTTTTTACTTCACTCATGGTTAAAATGCCAGCTGTGAGATGTGAATGCATCTCCTGGCTTGTTTGCCTCGCAGTCCAACAGGCAGGGAAGAGCGGCTCGCTGCCTGAATGGAGCTTCTTCTTACGCACGAAATAAATGGGCGCCCGAGGAGCCCCCAGACCCCGCGTCAAGGCTGGGATTAACTTTGAAACCAGGCAGCTTTCGTCTCCCAGCACTTGCCTACACAGAGGGATGATTACATCTTTGCTTGAGCACTGGTGAAAACGCTGACCTAATCTTGATGGTGCGCGTTAAAACTAGAATAATTTTTTATAACTGTTGGCAGGAGATGCATGCCTATATGCTTACACAGTGGTGTTTGGGAAAGATACCTACGCGTCGACACGCCAAGATATTTGAACCGAGTATCTAGCAACAACCGTATAGAGACAATGAGATCTATTTATTTCAGTACTACTTGTGTGTAGCATATCAAACGTGATAGGCCTTCCTTAGCCTGAAATCGAAGGTATACAAACTGACATAGATGCGGGACCGGTATTAGGAGCCGTTACCTATTCAGTTTTACAATATTTAACTTTTATTTGTTGTCAATTACAAGCGTGTAAGTTTTGTTGGATGATTTGGGCTGGTTTGACTAATTAGAATCATTCAGCTATTTTTTCCTCTCCCAACTAAGAATTAATTTCATTCTAAGGGAAATTGTATTTTTCAATGATTGATCGTTTCCAGTAAGTGAAGTTACTTAAGAACATAATATCGGTTAATATCTAGCGCCATCATCTGGCCCACTATTTCAGTACAGCGCTGAGTATTTGTAGTGGCTTGTATAGTGCTGTATTTCCTCAGAGCTCCTTAGTCGAGATATTCTTTGGTCATTTGTACTTTTGTATTTCACTAATATCTACTAATATTGAAAAATTAGGACATTTATACAAGTCATTGTACATTTCATGATACAATAGTATATAAATATAAGCCTGCTTCACCAAATTACATACGTTGCCACATAAACTTTCGATGTGTTTTCATATCTATACCTGTAAGATGTTCCTGTCTCTCGTCCCCCATCCCAAGCAGAGTCCTTTTCAGAGGGCATCCTGGAAAGGACGCTAGTGCGTCATAGGACACACACACAAAAATCATGGACATTTGAGAGACAATAGTTCACTTACAGTTCAGACTCCCACATACAGAGCTAATGTTGGAAGCAACTCTAGAGTGTTGAAGGTATGTTAAACTCTACCCTCCATCCATCCATCCATCCATCTGCTTATCTTGCTTGAGGACCTGTAGCATCCTGGAGCCCATGTCAAGCAGAATACAGCACAGGGTATGGATACACTCTGGAATGGATGCCTTTCCCTAACAGGGCTTTCGCTCTAACTATACATTAGTAATTACTGCCCCCTAGTGGTCACTTGGCCACAATTCAACATCCATCCGTCTTCCAACTGCTTACCATGAATTATTATTTTTTTTTTAAATGGACATTGTATATCTAATTTGTTTACATAAGTATACAGTAGCTTATCTAGCATGCTGAAATCCCTCTTCTTGATTTGTACAATAACACAGGTCTCTCAAACAGGCCAAAGTCTTGAACCTTCACTAAACATTCATTGCCCTTCCTTTGCCTTTCCCGTGACTCCGTGTTCATCCTGATATTTTTTCTCATCCCATTGTATTCATTACCCCCTGCACATGATCTCTATCTGTGAAATCTCTAACCGGCTAGTATCATTCCTGTCCTGGGCTTGACCCGCAGATGCTAATTGTGCTAATCAGCACGCCCGCTTCACAAACCCTCTCAAAAACCACCAGGCACGAATGACACCCACGGGGATTGAACAAACGGACAGAGTTCCACGTACATTAAGAAACAAATTTATTTTAATAGAATATTAATGCACAGTCCTTTGTATGTACACAGCTCTAAAAACTTGATAGGGCGGCAATAAATCCTAAACCGTCTCCCTGCGTCTTCCCATTGATAAAACACATTTCACAAGGAAGGCCTGATTGCACTTCACACTAGGGATTCTTTATTTCTAATAAAAATATATAGCTATATATTTAGGTTTGTTGTGGGTAAAGCCTACAATTCAGTTGATAAAACCATAATTTAAAAACAGACCATAAGGAAAGCATGGTGTTCCCCCCTCTTGGAAGTCAAGGCTAAGAGTGACAGTCCTATCACTACTGCCAAAACGCAAGTGTGTTTGCTTTTGCGTGATATCTGACATAAATAATGATCAAAAGGTTCTTACGCCTGTTTCTGTTTAACGTTGATAAAGCGTGTTGGCCGGTCAAGTGGTCATCATAGTCCTGAAAGCGCAGAATAAAATCTAAAGCGCGTACGACCTGCACTCTGATTCTCTGCATTGTACTTTTGTTTCCCTCTTCACTTTCTTATAAACTAAAAATTCAAGTAAAACAGGATTGGAAATATTTTTTATATGAAAATGCCTTCTTTCTGTGAAGGGATAATACTGCGAATTTGGTGCTGTGTAAACAGAAGACAACATAAGACTTGATGTTACGCACCTTTTCATCATGGCAAAGAAATACACAAAATAGACTGGTTTAGTTTTGTGCTTCAACATTTCGGGAGCATGAAGCTTAGGAACTGGGTAAAAATTGGGGGGGGGGGGCATTGGGGTGATTGTGACAACTGCCTTTCCAAGAGCCCCTGAAGGAAATAAATAACACAGCCCTTGAGTTAACATCTTTCCATCCGGAAGAAAACCCAAAAAAAAAACAAAAAAAAAACACCCATATTCTGAAGTTCTAAAAATAAAGATTTTGGCAACGTATCGCAGTCAGACAAGTGTAGCTGCCCAAGTCCATGTGCAAATCCCGCCCATTTGAAACTCGATTCACCATGGTGATTGTCCGGAGGTCTCCCCGCCTCCTACGCAAGGCCTTGCTCTGACGAGGCCCCAGTTCACTATTGCTCCGATTCCGAGATCTCACTCCGCCAAGCGTTCTTGCCGTTAGGCTCCGGAATATTCTCCTGTAGTAAGAGGAAATTGTCTTCTAGGAATTTCATAAGTAGCCAGAGTGACACACGACGCAGATTCGGTCTGGGTCATCGCCGACGCCATCTCCCAGATGAGGATTTTTGTCGAGTCCGCCCCCCTTGCCTTGCCTCAGAAAATGTCAGTGTTGGCCCCCACACCCGAGTCCTCCCTGCGTACCCATACCACCTCCGGGCTGCCCGCCTCCTCTATGGCACAGTGCTTTTTGAGGTGTGCCAGCCTCTGAGCTCTGCAGCTTCCCGTGTCCTGCGGTTCCCCCCCATCGAGTGAGAGGGTCTTGAGGGGGCCCTCGGGACCAGGCTTGGGCCCCAATGTCCTGACCGAGGAGCAGTACTCGTCGTCGTCGCTCAGAATGTCCGTCTCCTTCACCTCCTCCTCCCGGCCCTCGTAGCTCTCCAAGTTGAACTGCTCCTCGACCCAGCGGTCGGTGTCGCCGGTGGCAGCGGTGCCGGCCGGCTGCTGAGCAGGGGAGGGGCACGACCGAGACGTCGCACAGGGGTCCTCAGCTGGGACGCCGTCGAACACGATGTCCGTGTCGATGGTGAAGCGGTTGCGCACTAGCTTGCGTCGGCCAAGGGTGCGAGACGGAACTGAAACTGCAAAGAGGACGATCGACACTAATCAGACAACAGCCCACAGCCTCAAACAGCTCAGCAGCTCAATATAACCACAGTTACTGACTTAACAGATCTGTTAAAACAAGCATAACAATCATCAGCAGACAGCAAAGCCTAAATCATTCGCTTTTTTTTTTTACTATTTTTCAAACTTTTTTTTTATCCAAAGCCACATAGATGTATGAGGAAGTTGGGGGTTAAGGGTCTTGCTCAGGAGCCCAACAGTGAAATCACTCTACCGATCTTGGGATTTGAACTAACAACCTTCTAATCGCAGGCGCCACATCCTAACCCCCTGAGCCAAACATCTCACCTTCACATTATATGTTTCAGTGACAAACCAGATAGACGCACTAAGTTACTCCCAAAGCGGAGCCCGCACATACACGGTGATGGTGTGTTCAGGGTTAGGGTTAGGCGGCCGGGGGGGGCGGACCTACCTGCCCTGTTAATAGAGGGCCGCGAGCCTTTCAGTGCACACAGGCGCTTCCCCCCGAAGGGCACATACTGCTGGTTTGGCGGCAGACTCTCCGTCTTGAGGAGCTGCCTGCGCTGCTTGTCCCTGAGGATGGAATGCACCGTTTTCAGGAAGTCCTTCTTGCTCTCTGGGGACCTGCGGGAGGAGGGGAGCACAGGCAGGAGAAGCCAAGACGGCGATCAAAAAACAGGAATAATCAGAACAACAGGAATAATTAGTTGTCAGCAATGCCTGACAGTGACAGTGATCATCACACATGAATAAGTGTGGCTTTTGCTTCTGTTCAGCCTAGGGGGGCCACCTAATCCATGTCGGGGGTGGGGGGGGGGACACTATGAGCTACGACAGGGTTTGTAAACTAGCATTGCAACCATTTCTATTAAAAGCACCCGGATGTCACTTAAGCACGGAGTTCTTGCTCTGCGCTGGTTGGTCAGTCTCCGATAATCATACATGTGCCACTAGCGTTAACGTGAAACAGCTGGACCAGTCGTTCAATGAAGGAAGCAAACCTGTAAAAATACAAGCTGGACCGAGCAATTCAGCCGAACACAAGAGCCTTTAAAGTAGTTTGTGAAGCCTGAAGTAGCTCAGTGTCCCTCGTGATGTGGGTTAGGTTGTCACTCTAGCTCAACCACCCTTAATGCAGACTGACCTGCAGCACAGATGGAATGTCCTCTCCGGCCTCCCCTCCGACTCTGACTTGACATGGACGATCTCGCACATGGACGACACCTCCGAATCTGGGGAGGAGGAAACACGAGAGCAAGGTTTTAACCTGACTAATGTGACAAGCATAGTGGGTCCCGCCCACTGAACCCCAGCCAATAGACATGCAAGTTATTTATTGCTTTTCGCAGCAGAGCCAATGGCATGGGAAGTTAGGAATAAGGGTGACCAATCAGATGCCTGAGCCTTAATTGTTTCCTACACACCAACTCCAACTGAGCATCTACAGGCAGGGTGGGGGGCCAGCTTTAGCCTTAGCCCGGCAGACATATCTATGGGGGGCGGGGGCTTGGCACATCTAAGTCCTGCAGTCCTGACCTCAATTTTGACAAACATGGGAACCAGCCCTCCCATCCTGAACATCCAAGGATAGCCCACCCAGTAAGAGCAAGTTCACTCCTCCAGAGAGCGAGGGAAAGAACTGAGAATACACATACGGGCGAACGAGAAGAAACAGACACATTCCGTGATGGATAGTCTGAGAACGGATGGAATTCCCAGTTTTGTGTCTAGTTTTATGTTTTACAAATAACCTCTGAATTGCCAACTAAACCTCAATATGCTTCCATATAAAGTTCTAGAGCAGGGTTATTCAAATCACGGTCCTCTAGGGTCGAGCCCTGCTGATTTCCCAGCCTTCCTTTACCAGTGACCCGGGTGTGAAGCCTCTGTGGCCAATCAGAATCAGTAATTATTAAACCAACTACCCGGGAGAACTGAAAACAAGGCCTTTAGAATTGAGGTCCAGATTTGAAGAGCCCTGCTCTAGATTATGCTCTTCTTTAAATTACGGATATTTTTTTCTTTCCACAATGTAATGCTGTGAAACTGCACTATACAAATAAAATTGATATGAATAAGCAAAAATACCAAATAATTTGATTAACTCTTCTTTATTACCTTTATAAATATGAGAAAACATGTATAACTTCTGTCACTTCTTGTCATTCTGCACAATTTTGTGTAGCGTTAACCTCCTCTAAAGAGGCTAATATCTAATGCAATACTTTTAAAACTTAAGAATCTAGTATGGACTCTTTCAACAAAGAATTTTGGTTGAACCTTCTAAGACCTTCTAAGATCACAGACCTCAATCTACCCATAAATGGAAAATGTACCTGTGCTTCCTAGAGCGCGAACCTGAAGGGTATCAGTGGAAATCATGTGACGGAAGCGGAAGGGATCCTTGTCTTCAGCTATGGAGGTGCGGTGTGATGAACCCTGGGAGAGAAGGTGGTACATGCCAGGTTTTATAGCGAGACAGGCAAGAGCAAATGATGATAGAGTTTATAGCACCACAAGTACTTGAGAGCACAAGAGGCAGTAGGGAAATAGTAGATGCGGATACAAAACTTATACTCTAAAAGCGGATAACAGTACACACTGAATCAGGAACCTATATCATACAGTTGGATTTTTAAAGTCCATGTAAACTGGGGTACTTTAATCCATCAAGTTATCTAACTAATCAACAAATCCGGCTTCCTGATACAGGCACCAGGAGTACTCAGTACTCAGTACTCACCCTCCAGCGGCAGCATGCAAAGCCACCATTAACTACTCCACATTAGGAGTAAATGTGGCATCTCATCTCCACTCTCATGCCTTTGCGCAGAGGAGGAAAGTTCAGGTCCAGAAAGCACAAATCCAGACCAAGGTTTTGTTTAAACCAGCCGGCTGAGTATAGAGAGTCACCGTCACAGAGTACTCAACTGGTTGGATAAAAGAAAACCTTGGTCTGGATTTATACTCTCTGGACCTGAACTTTGAAGCTCTGCCTTGCATGCTTGTTTCTGCAAAGCCATTTGTTTTTTGTAACGGAGTGCGATGAATAACGAGGAGAACACCGTAAATGGACTTCTATGGCCAGAGTGCTTCAGCTAAGATCTAAGTAGTCGTGGTTTTTAATTTTAAGTTATTCACTTATAGGAAGTGATGGAATGGGATCCGGAAACTCACTATTTTCTTCTTTTGCTTGGAGCAGTCCTTGTACACAAAGACAACCGCTGTTTTGAAGACTGAAATAGAAAGAACATTTGGTTCAGGGGAGAGAAAATATAATATACACTACTACACCATATTAAAAACCCTGGAGGCGAAATACCTTTATTTTAATGTCAGTATTTGAAGCCTTAAAAAAATAAAACCAAATGATCATCTGCCTATCGCCTCACAGCACGTTCGGCTGAGCTGCCAAAGCGATGTGGTCACATGCAGATTTCCATTACTGCTTTTCTAATTCCATCCATCCAAATAAATAAGTAATTTGATATAGATGCTTTAAAAAAAAAACAAGATAAAGGTGATTTTGTTAGCGAGTTTTTTTTTTTTTCGCGATTATTTCCTCGCTGAACACTGCAGAGTACAGGAGGGCTGATCTGGGAACAGCGGTTTTACTGCAGGTGAAACATACCGAAGGCAGCCAGCTCTGGCTCCTTTTTCCACTTCCCCAGCGAGGAGGGGGGGTTGATCCAGGTCACGGAGGTGTGAAGCAAGAGATCTCCCATCGAGAGGTCGGCAACCTGCCCCAGAGGGCGGAGAATCGGTGTGAGGTCTGTCCTGCTCTGACTGGGGCAGAGAGACGCCCACGCACACAAACACAGGCAGCGGGACGTGTTCGAACATCCCAGCCCCTCCCCCGGCTACGAGGCTCACGTTACCCCCCATTACGTTACTCCAAAAAAGGCACCGTAGCGACTTTCAGGCAGCGTGAAATTAACTGGGATCATTAGCCGTGAAAACAGAGCTGAGGGAGACGCTGAGAGGAGCTGACCTCTTTCTTGTTGCCAGTCTGCTCGGCGATGAGCTGGTCGAACACCGCCCCGTACTCCTCGTGGATCTTCTGCATCTCGTTGATGTGGCTGGCCACCTTGTTCATGGCCTTCATGGCCACTGAGGGTGAATTGGAGGATTATGGGATGTCAGTTAACAACAGCCTGCTTTAAGAGTCTAATCACGATACGCTGCTTCACATTAATTGGGGGCGTCGATACAGCCACACACAGAGAGGGGCACTTGCCCCATAGGAAAGCTGATTAGCCCCTGGAGTCCCCCTCCTTCTTCACTCACCAATTCAAAACGTATCATTGGCTCCTCTGGGTGAATTATCATCCCTCTTATGCCCCCCCCCCCACCTTAAATAAATCCTAGAATTGCCCCTGCATGCAGAACACCCCAATGTGTCCCCACCCCCCCCACACACACAGGCTCCCTCACCGTCCAGGTGGTAGTGCTCCTCACTGTCGGGGTCAGTCAGGGAGTACAGCTCCCTCAGCAGCAGTGGGTATTTGAGGACCCGCTGGATGGGCTTAATCAGGTATGATTCCAGGGTGGACGAGTGTTGCTGTTTGGGGTTCCGTTCATCCAGAAAGGCCTTAAAATCGGGGTCTGTTTTGGCTGGAAGGCAAGTGGACACGCGCTGTCAGCGTCACATCTAAAACAGTCCAGGTGGTTCTAATTAAACACTAAAATGTATGGAAACAGTGGCCGCTAGCCTGTAGGCCATGATGAGCCAGCAGAAATGAAAGCTGTGCATCTCTCAGTGTCCTTAAATGTCTCACGTCTCCCCTGAGAAAGCCCAACCTTAACCTTTCCGCTATCAGAACAGTAATTGCTGGCAGGGAGAGAAAGCAGAACTGCAATGCAGCACGGCCCAGGAAGAGAGAAGAGAGAACTTTCACAACTCCAGAGAGGCCAGCCACGAAACCCCAGGGTGGCAGCGAGGCCCAGATGGCAGCCAAGGCGTCAAAGTCAGCGGAAAAAAACCAGGGGATACCTTTAGCGAGAACCTTGGGGACCTTGGTGTGGCTGGCACAGAACGCGCTGTAGATCTTGAAGCGGTCGGCATAGTACAAGAAGGAGCCACCCAGGGAGAAAAGCACCTTCTGTGAAGGAGACGCATCAGCAGACATGAGTCTGGATTCATATAAAGTGCTTTTCTGCATGCAGAGAGTCACGGCAACAATAATAAGAGTAAGGAGGAGGCAGACATGCCGTCAAATATACTTATGATTAATGAAATATTATTGGATATTATTATTTTGTATCACTGTTGATAATGATGATGGAAAATGATCATTAGTAATCGTGACTATAACAATGAGAATCCTCTAAAGCGACATGCCCGTCGTGGAAGTTCCCGTAATCGGACGCGTTTCACTTTGTCACACTGGGCTTTTTACAAGATGGCTCCACCTTAAACTGGTCCACGCTCTCAAGCTTCTCGAGATCCGGAACCAGCCTGGTCCCATCCTCCAGAGTCTTGAGAAACTCCAGCTGGAATTCGACCATCTCAGGCAAGTTTCCAAACAGCACGTCCAGCTACCGGGAGACAAATCGATTTCACTCTCAAGGAGTTACTGGTTTTTGGGGAGTATGATATATTTGTGCGTGTACATAAAGTGGAATCCATATTCACTGTGGGCCTGTTTGAAAGCCATCTACCAAAATACTAAAAGACAAAATTCTCTTACATATCACATGACCTAGTAATCTGGTTATTTTAAATTCAAGACCACAAGATACAGGTTTTACAGACACCAAATAACACCACTGGGAGTCAACTTTCCAGTTTCATCTACTGCCCAGAAACACATTATATTACATTTATTTAGTAGACGGTTTTACTTTATCCAAAGAGAACATAAAATTGAGAATCCAGGGTCAGATACTCCCAGCACGTCGGGGGTAAGGGCCCTGCTCAGGGGGTCAACAGTGAAAATAGTCTGAGCTTTGACCCGGCAACCTTCCAACCACAGGCATAGAGTCTTAACCCACTAAGCCAGGGCTATTCAACTCCTCAAGGGCCGAGCCCTGCTGATTTTCTAGCCTTCCTTCACTTGTGAGCCAGGTGTGAAGCCTCTGACCAATCAGAATCAGTAATTATTAAACTAACTACCTGGAAGAACTGAAAACAAGGCCTGGATTTGGAATTGAGGGCCTGAGTTGAATAGCCCTGCACTAAGCCATAGAGCAGCCCATTTCATAACTGCGAAGTAGCCGTAATGCGGACAGAAATGCGACGCTGCCATACCTCATCCTGTGTGAGGAAACTCTCCTTCTGCAGGGGAGTCAGGTACCTCTCGATAAGGCAGTTCAGGTCCTGAAAGACAACCACAGTTTCTGGAACAGGCGACTTCTTACGTTAAACGACCAGAGAGGAGAGCCTCAGTGCCGCAGTCACCTTAGACGGGCTCCGAGGATCGATGTGACCAGCTTTGGGACGTCTGCCTCGAGTTATATTTTTAGTATTACGACTCATCACACGACCATGGGACAGAGTCAGCCTCCTCCTCCGGATTTTAATTACACGTCGACCCGTTAATTGCACACATCGCATTTGGAGAAGAGAAACTGAACCTGGAAAGCTTCTCAGACAGGCCGCTCAGGGGCTGACACAAAACTGAGCCGAGCTTAAAGAAAGAGACACGTTTCAGTGGCTGAGTGTCAGCTGAGCCTCTTAGCCACGGGGACATGCCCTCGGAACAGTCCGCTAAAAATCACTCAGCGGCACAAGACGGCAGAACAGCGGTACTGACTTTGACGTAGGTCCTCTCTGTCTCCACCAGCTCGCAGACGACCTTGCGGAGCTTGTCGGCATCGGAGAGCTGGCGCGGCGTGGCGGCCGGCGGCAGAGGGGCCGAGTCGGGGGTGCCGGCGGGGGCGAACTCCGACAGATTCATGTCATGGAGGCTGCGGCAGAAGGCAGTGACCTGATCCGTGCTCTGGAAAAAAATGGAGAGAAAAAAAAAAAATTATGGAGACTGAAGAAAAGGAGGGACATGACACACACCCCAGAGGAGAAGTAAGGACCCTCTGAAAGCCTTATTCCTGCTAAAACTGCATACTTCACCAGCTCTCGCCGCCTTCCTCTGAGGCTTAATTGGGACGCGTACACCGGTCTGACAGCGAAGCACACAGGTGTAGAGTGACAGCTCCAAAAAAATGAATAATTTACACTCATTTGATCTATTTCCAGCTCCTATCATAGCTGTCTGCTCATCACCCCGCCTCTGCCTCCATTCTGATGCTCTGGTTGGGGGGTTTGCGCAGAACACACTCCACAGCAGGATAGCCCCCAGGATGTGACACAGGAAGAGCCCCAAGGGCATGAAATGGGCATAGGTGGGTGTCCCTGGGTCAGTGGGCATGACGGGATGCGAGTGCACCAGGGAGCCCACAGCTTTACCAGAACCTGAGGATTGCTATTCGGGGACTGGGCAACCAGGTTTGGTCAGCCCACATCCATTAAATCAGCAAATTCATAGTCCGATTCCCTCACCACTGCTCCACCTACTGGTCGATATTATAATCGCAATCCCACGCCTGTCCCACAGGAAGTCAGTTAAACCTCCATCTAGAGAAGCATGGCTAGCATCCCACTGCTAGGATATGTCAATGTCCAAATTTTACCTGCTCACATAGACCACACCCACCCCCAAATATGGTATTGTTGAGGCATTCAGCCTGACTGCATTAAGAGCCAAGTGTTGCGCGCTTGAAGCCTCAGTCTCCCTCACAGATGTCCCTGAAGGACAAGTAGCTGGAAGCATCGCACTGCGAACGTCAGGAATCTGTGGGGTGCAACATGCACGTCCTCCATGGCGTCGGTATAAATAGCTTGCACGCTCTCCCTGCCCTTTCTGATTCTCCTCGCTGCCTCTGCTCGTACACTAGGACTCGCCTGGATTGAAGAAGTGCAGGGCCGTTAGCAGTCGGGGTGGGGGGGGGCAATGCAGCACAAAAATAGCCCGGCTGTGAAGCTAAACCCGCCGTGCGATCGATGCTCCGCACCAGAAGCAAGAGGAGCCAAAGCTGCCCCTCCCCCCCCCCAAACACAAACGCTTCATGCGGGATGAAATGAGAAGTTTACAAGAATATCCTCTTAGATGCTCCGCAGAAGGGGGCGGAGAATGTAAAGAGATATTTAAAGATGCTGTATAAGAAGGAAAAAAACTACAACAGCCTCATCTGGGGCAGCAACCGCCTCACAGTGTGGTGCCATTTCAAGGTCGTCCATGTTTACAGACTCACTGTTGGACTTCAAAGAACCCTGCAGCTGAGAGGAAGTGGAAGTTCTGTATGTGTGTGTAGGTGTGCGTCTGTCTGTACGTTGGATGGGGGGGGAGGCAATTTCCAGTCTTTCTGAAGAGATCAGCAAAGGCTAAATGGGATTAAATATGAGGATTAAGAGCAAATTTTTAACCTCCACCGTGAGCAAGTGGCAAGCTTGTGGTCCGGCCCTAAAAGTACAAGTGCTCGGCTGAAATGGGGAGATAAGGCCCGAACACTTCGGCGTTCTGGACGTGCGGGACATTAGGACCCATTCTAGTAAATGGGGTGATTATGACTTTGCAATTGGAAACAGCTAGTTTTAACTAACATTAAAAACACTGCTGGAAAACTAGCCTAGTATGTCACCAGATAAGTTGACGTGATGTGTTACATGATCCTGGGGTCGAATCAGCTGCTCATTATATAAATTCTAGAATCAGAATCAATATTTTTATTATCACGGAGGAAATTGTTTGTAATTATAGATCATAGAGTGTGCAGGTACACAACGACTCCCGCAAATGCACATGGATGATGAGAGCCCAGGGCACGTGGAGAACATGCAGAATGCACAGACAGCCTCCTGGAGAACCTCAGCCAGGAGCCATTAGTGTTGAGGGGAAGGTGAGCTAGTAGCAGAAGGTTGGGGAGGTGGGGATACAGCGACTCGAACCGAGGAGCACGGATGGCGGCTCTCACTAACGAGTCTGGACAGCGAGTCCAAAGCATGAAAATGGAGGGTGGGGGGGGGGGGGGGGGGTACCAAATTGAATAACCACAGTAAAGAAAAAGGGGACCCAAACAAAACACATTAAATGACCACAGTAAAGAAAAAGGGGACCCAAACAAAACACATTAAATGACCACAGTAAAGAAAAAGGGGACCCAAACAAAACACATTAAATGACCACAGTAAACAAAGAGGGGAGCCAAACAAAACACATTAAAATGACAACATTAAACAAAAAGGGAACCCAAACAAAACACATTAAATAACCACTGTAAACGAAAAGGGGAACCAAAGAAAAAACAATAAAATGACCACAGTAAACAAAAAGGGGATCAAACATAACACATTCAATAACCAAAGTAAACAAAAGGGGGACCCAAACAAAACAAAAGCAGAACCACAGATAACAAAAAGCAGATCCAAACAAACCACTTGACAGGGCATCAGGTCAGGACAAGACAACAATACCAAAATGCCAAAACAAAAAACAAAAAGCCCAATAGCATGAGACATTGCTGCCACGCCCACCCCACTGCCCCCCCGGCAGCTCACCAGGTGCAGCATGGAGTACAGCGATGAGCGTTTGCTGTTCCGGCTTCTCCTCAGCACAGACATGGTTGCCACTCGCGGGGGGTCACGGCGCTCGGGGTAGGGGGCAGGTAGGGGGGAGGATGAGGGTGAGGGCAGATGCGTAACCACCTGCCAGAATCCTGGGTCACGACCCTCGGTTCGAGCTCGGCGCCACGGTGCTACCAAACAAATATCATTCGGTTTCCTCTTCCATTGGAGATTTCAAACCACAGCGAAACACAGAGAAACACGGTGCTGCCAGAGAGAGGAAGGTGTCTGGGACAGAGGCCGTCCCAATCCAAAGGTGCCACTTCCTGACACTTGAGCCACGCCGATACACTCCTTGGGTAATTGCCCCCTCCTGACAGCATGCTAGCGTGCACGCAAACACACAAGGACCCACAGCGGCGTCGTCAACAACAAAACAACGACGACGACGACAATGCCTCCGCAGAAGGGGAGGGCTGGGAGATGAAAGGAACAGGAAGGTATGGAGCAAGGGAGGGAGAGATAGAGAGAGAGAGCGGGAGAGTGGGACGGACGGGGGTGGCGTCTAGAGCCGTCCATGCAGTGTCGCTCACCCCCGCCTCTGGGGGCTGAGGAGGAGACAGAAAGATGAGAAGCTTCCTCATTCTGACCCCGAGACACTAATGAAGGACCTACGGCTCTGAGCCGATGGGAACTGATCCAAATATGAACTCAAGGTGCTCGCCTGACAACAGGACAGCCAGCACAGAAAGCTAGAAAAGAGACCCTTAAAGATTCCCCCCCCACACACTTCTTATTTCCCACCCAATCAATCCCATAAGGAGACTGAATTGATAACCCTTCAGATTTGCAGGATTGAATTAGGGGTGCAGATACAAAACTGCAGGATCCACCATTACAATTGCCTCCTGGGACAAATTTATTCAGTCTAAGGTGGACAGTTAATTGCAGTGGCCACTGCAGAACCTGGTCGGGTGCCTGGGCTTGCTCTCTCGAGGGTGTCACCGAGCACCAAGCCCCCCACCCCATGCCCCCCAACAAGCACACGTGTGTGCACACGCGCTTCTAAAAAGACACTGATGTCACCCAAATTCCTGACTCCCCGCACTCCGGAATGACGAGCGGTGTCAGTTCAGAAAGCCCGGTCTTTAACAAGATTCATTGGGCCTCCCGGCTGGGAGTTTTTGGCTCCACTGGGAAGCATCTCCCCCTGAAAAAAAAAAATGCCCAAAAAAAGGCACTCCCAAGAAGGCCTGCACATCCTCCAACGTGCCTCCCCCCCTAAAAAGCCGACAAGTCCCTGGGGCGCATTCCTCGCCAAGAATTTGGCAGACCAAAAATCATGCCCCAACATCCGAAACAAGAAAAGCAGTAGCAAAGAATTTCAACACACATAATCGGACACACGCTGCCGGACAACTAGAAGGACAGAAGTACAAATTCCTCTTGTCCAGAGAGGATGAGACTGGTACCAAGCCAGCAGATCAAAGAAGAACCAAAAATAAAACAGAAAAATAAAAAAAAGCACAGATCCACAGCAGGGACTGCAGTAAAGCTGGAAGTTTGCAACATTTTATTTATTTTTTTAACAGAAAGGAGAAAAGGGAAGCAAATAGATACAGCCTTACCTTCGACCAGAAACACAGTGACAGGGAGACCGCAGATGGGCACGCTACAGGCTTAGCGAGGGCGGAGACGGCACGTTCCAACCTGTTCCCTAGCCCCTATAGCAAGAATGGAATGTCTCAGCAGGCATTTTCCCTCCCGCACACAAAGTCTCTGTGTCTAGGGGCACAGCATAAACGCCAAGGTATTTCTAGAGACGCGCACTGTCAGAAAACACAGAATAATTCGAAAAGTCAAGGATCTCGAAGACCTTTCCATAGCTGTTGTTCATTCACCTAGGCATGTTTGTTCTGAAGTTTGTTCACCCCTGGTTTTACCGGCCTGAGCGTGTCAGAGCAAGAGCAGTGACCTACGGCCTCAACTGTGCAGGAATGGCACTGACCCGCAGCATAACATGAAAAGACAAAGCCCTCCGCTTATCTAATGGGACGCAGGAAAGGAAGCCGCACAGTCTCAGGAAAAGGGAGAGAGCTGGTCTTCCTTATCTGACACTTTCAAGGAGGAAGCGTTTTTCTCATGGTCAGTGTCTGCTTCCGCTGACGCAGAACGCCAACAGTCAGACTGATTCTTGCTCTGAAGCGTTTTAAACACTCCACAGCACATGCTTCCTGTATCTGGAGACCAGGTCCTTCTGAGGAAGGCGCATGACTGATAAGAAGGAACCCGTTTCTCAGGGGTGCTTTTTGGGTCCCTCACCCCTTCAGAACCAGGCCTGGGGACACCAGATGGATCACCGAGCTCGAAGCCCCGTCACGGTGACAAACATGGAACTGTGCTGTCACTTCTGGAGAGTTATCGAGTCTGTCAGCCGGAACCATGAACTGCTGAAAATGCAGGATGCTGAAAGCACCATCCGCCCATTTCTAACAGACATCCAAAAGCTTCGGCACTAATGACTGTAAAATTTATTTACGCAAAAGCTCGCTGTTTAAGGGTACCACAGGAGAGCCTCTCCTCAGATTTAATCTATCAACCTTCAGATTATTAATACATCCATAGTCACTGAACTTCCAATGGAATGATGAACATGCAAATTACAGCCTGACCAACACTAAAACTTTGTTTCAAGTAGTTGTACAGTTTAAATGGAGCTAAAAACCAACCAATAACACAAGGTTGCTAATTTTGCACAGCGGGCTGGAGTGAGATTTTCAATTTGAGACTAGTCTGCACACTCATTTACATTACACTTTTATTACCTTTTAAATAGCCTGTAGGGTTTGCAAACTACCCCAACGCCTTTGATGTAGGTAATTTTAGGTTTATAATGGAATAACATAGATTCGCCGTAAGATTCCTTGCATAAACGTGAGTGAAAGCACTTCGGTCACGCCAAATGCCCTGATATCATAAGCTGATATAATTAAAACAAGTATATGTTATATAATTTAATGATATAATTTGAATTAAACAGACATCAATAGTTTTAAACAGAGGGCTGAGACAAAACAGTGGATGTGAGTCAATTTGTGTAACTCAAACTGCAAAAACTTCCATTAATATAAACCTTCACTATAAAATGATACCTTCTTCCCACAACTTGTAAGATATCAGTAAATCAACAGCAGGCGCCCCTCCCACAACCACAACCACAAATACAGAAATGTTTCCATTAAAAAAAACATACAATAAAAAGAACTACTTGCCATTTCAAAGTTTTCAACACAAAAATAAGTGTTTCAGTGACAAGAAAACAGAATGGATGAGGAAACGAATAGTGGAAGAAGCACAATTAAGGTGTATCAGGCAAAAAAGTTGCTTCCTTGTGCTTGTGCCCCAAGTAATGTTACTCTCCTGCTTTTTATTTACGATATCAATACTTCCTTCCTTAAATACTCAGCCCTTACTCATAACCCTAAAAGCACAACTGAACCAAGAGCTAAATTAGTCATCTGTAGCTTCTTTCTTACACTCCATCTCTCACACTATAAAGCTTGCAAACAGTCGTGCAGCGATGTGGGAATTTTGACTGATATATATCTTTGTCTAACATACCGACACCTTACTTATGCTGAGGGTGAAACTTGCCAAGCAGGTTGCCAAAGCTCGCTGGCACAGATAAGCGGAATGGCACTGCCTTTCTTTTTTTTTTTTTTTTCATTCTGTGGAAAACACCAGATCGACCGGCAGGATTTAGTGATGAATTAAAAACATCTTCTAAGCAGTGAATGAGCTGAAGAAGCCCCCCATTGTCCGTCATAGGAACTACAAACATCGCCGGTATTTCAGTAGTTACGTCTTCAGCTCTTATGCTCCTAACTTTGACTATCGATTACGTTTAAGTATCAGCTGGTAATATCGGCCTGGGCTGACACATCGGACTGATGCCGATATCTTGATTTTAACGAATATCCGCCAAGATGTTGGGCCTCCCGTGCCTGTTTTCACATATTTAAATGTAGATTAATGTCTTTTTCCCGCCTTTTTTCATTCCTTGTTGCAAAATTACTGAATACCTTTAGTAGGATGAGGCTCTTTGCTTTTTTTTGATGAAATCCATGACCAGTGCTGGTTGCCTGTTTCATGTTCTGAATGTCTAACTGTTGTTAAAAAAAAAAACACAAATTAAAAAAATCACTGCAAATGAATTTTCCCTGCCCCTCAGAAAATATAACTGCATTCACTGACAACTCAACCCTAGACTGATCTGTAAAAAAACTTAACACTTACCAGCTATTCAAGGATGAAAGTGGTCTGTCATAAAGCAGGGAGTACATCATCATTTCTCGCCAGTTAGAGAGGGTCGGTGTGAGGCATAGTGGGTTAGACCTCTGTACTTGTGATCGGAAGGTTCCTGGTTCGAATCCCATGCATGCCAGAATAGTCACGTCCAATGGGCCAAGGTCCTGAACCATCTCCCCCTCCCCCCAAAATACCCCAGGAGTCCTTCGCTCAACCATGTGTACGTCTCAAAGGAGAGCATGATGGGATATATGAAAAGAGGCTTTCGACATACTTGTGCAAGTGGAAGGTGAAGCATCACTTTATTATAAGTATGTAGAGAAACATTATCAGTGGGATTTTAGCTGATGCCCAGTCTAACATGGTTTGGCTAGATTTGTTTTACCCAGTTTAGCTAATTTAGTCACACTTAATGCTGCAAGGAAGACAACCTACAAGACTTTCCTCCCACATACCCACTTTTTCCAAACCGCCTAAGCAATTCAGACTGTAATTTATCACCTTAAAGTGTAGCAAATCAGAGCATGTAATCAAGCAATTAGAACGCGGGCATAATTAAAAGGCGACCCTTCCCCCCAAGCCAGAGATCACCAACGCCATCAGATGATTATCCATGGTCACGAAGGCTGCCTGCAAGATGCACAGGGGGAGGGTCAGGCTTTCAGTGTGCGGGGACAGGCATAGAACTGCTGAGAAAGCATCTCATACCAGCTCCAGCGATTGGAGGGAGCAGAAGAGGCCACTAAGATGGAACCGGTTTTGTCTAAGAAGGAAGTACAAATCCAAGGTACTGAACAGATAAGCAAACAAATAAGATCAAGATGATGCCAAGATGAGCGCGTATGGTTACAGGCTACGCAGCAGACAGCGTATTCACACCAATAACACTCCGTCACACTCTCACCTCGCACTCATCGAGCACATTCATGCAGCCAAGCACATTCTGAGCTTCAAAGCCAACAAACAAAACTGCTCTACTTTACCCCACAAAAAAACTACACCAGTTGCAATACTGTCAGGATAAAAGAACCAGCAGCAACCTGAGGAACACCACCTGATCCACACAATGCGGTGCTCATATGTGTACTTCAATGTCGCTCGCCCAGCATCGAGCTTGACACGCATGTGCAAAACTAGCGCAGGCTGACTTAGACCTGGCTACGTAGGTCCAGCAGTGAACTGGCTGTTCTGTGTATAAGCAGGAAAAATCAACAAACAACATTTAGCAGGTAGGAGAGGGTTGCACTCTCAATCACAACAACTTATTTCGCACAGACTGTGTGCTACACCTGACCAGCCCTTAAAGCAGCAGTAAAATAAATCAAACAGTACATTAGATACCCATACAGGGTCTTCTCCAGCACCAAGGAGAATGAGACTGACAGGCACTGCTCAGTCCTGCGGGCTGGGCTGGTCTTCTAGCACCAAGCTGAGGGGCTGAGGAGCATGTTAATCGAACTCCGCATCCACCTCATCGACAGGCAGCGGCCTTGCTAGTTTCCCTCCAAATTCAAATTCAACACGCCAGAAAATGAAAGCAAGGAATGTTCCAAAATGTTCTAGAAATAACAATACCCATGTGAGAAGGGCAAGAAGCCCATACAGTTCCTGCTATTACGTTCCCCCACCACCAGTCTCCATTGTCTGCCAGCTACTGCTACAGGCGGTTCCGTCTGTCTGTCCAGATGGCAGCCAGTGGGGGGCGCCAGTGTCCCCATTTGGTAAGGCTGTCATCTCAGCGACACCCCTCCACCCCGCCCCAGCACCGGCTGACCCACCTGACCTTTGTGGTCCTTGCATCTGTAATGAACGCATTCCCACGCTGCCCGTGTTTCCTGCACAGCCGCCGAGTCACGGCCCATCAGTCTGCGACTAGCATGTTTGCCCCCACCACCCCCCCCCCGGGTGACGGCGCAGGCCGACAGTCAGGCAGATCCCCACATCTGCTCCCAATTCGCCTCAGCTCACCTCACGACCTTTAATTAAAGGTCAAGGCTATCGCATGGAGGAGCTCCTGTTTTCTTAACAGCTATCGCTTTCCCTTCCTGCCGATTTACAACGCAGGAACAGCCAACCCCGCTGAGGTCATGCTTTCATCCTGTGCAAACAGACACAGAGCTTCGCAGGCGTCATATTCAAGGCCAGTTCACCTTCTGGCTGGCGGGAGCTCAAAGATCTTTTTTGGGTCATATAAAGAGATACTGAACTGAATACAGCTGGAGAATACAATACCTAGCCTGGCCCCCAAGTGATAGGCCTTGCGGACTGTTTCATTCCAAATGCAATTTGATCTTTTCATCTAAGCATGAAACCTTTCATGCATCTTCAGCCAAACTGCTCTCAAAATTTAAAAAAAAAAGCTTCACCTTTTATTCAAACCCAGCACAGTGCTGACAAATTGGATACCTTTGCATATAAGTTTTTTTTTGGGAGGATGAGGGGGGGGGGCAATGTTTTCACCCCTATCCCTCTATATGCGTAATATGACATCTCCTGACCCATGGTTTCAAGCTACTGAAATGATCAGGGGCTAAATCAAGTTTACCTTTTGAAGGAAGACTGGCATTGAGACTAAAATACTGGGGGCAAGGCTATAAAATACTGGGGGCTATAGCCCCGAGTGATCGGGCCAAATGACACCCATGCTCCTGACCTTCACAAAGGCAATATCTGCCCCACTGTGACTCCCCACTGTAACTCAACCCAGCCCGGACATGTGGTCATCCCAATAATCAGCTCGACCATACCTTCCGGCCCTCCTCCAGGTCGCCAAAGAACTCGGCCTCGCCTTCCAGACAGTCTCCTGGGCCCAGCGCCACTCCGTCATCCAAAATGTCCTCTGGACATCCACGAAGGAAAAACAGAGAGAAAGAAAGAGAGAGAGAAAGAGCGAGAGATGTCTACTAAGAATGTAATTACAGTACAAACTGCACAGCCAAGACTATTACTATCAATCCATGCATCACTTTGCAATAGCCTCTTAGTAATAGCCAGTCAGAGTTATTCAGGGTGAATACAGGGTGAGCACACCTAAAACAGGATGCCAGTTCATCACAAGGCACTCAATTATAACTGCTTCCAACTTGCAGCTACAATCCTTTTGAATCTATAGTGGTTCCCAGCATTACACCATTAGCAAATCACATCAGATCGGTTTCCTAATTTCATGTATAATCGCTACAGAGAGGAAAGGTGACGTGGAGTCCAGCAGAAGCACAGACCTTGGCTCTGGGAGAAGATGTCAGTGAGGAGCTCCTCTCCGTCCGAGCGGCGCGGAGGCAGGTGACACAGCAGGTGCCGGTCCACCGCGGGCAGCGTGCTCACGGTCAGGCAGAGGGAGGGCTGGACGAATGCGGCCCGCAGGTTCGAGAGATCCAGTGCACTGGCATCTTCCCCGTTCAGCTGCAGGATCTCGTCCCCAGCCCTCAGACCTAAGAAATGACACGACCCCAATAGCTAAAACAAACGAAGCATACATTTTAACTGTTCCCAGTACTGTAAGGTGCTTTGAATAAAAGTGTCAAATAAATGTAAACGGAGCGATGTTTTATTGCCCATTTGCACAAGGTTTGCATATCTCACTGTCTCTGCTTTGAGACATAAACACACACACAGAGTTGAGAGTAAAGCTTGGCGTTTAAATGCAGGGATATTTAGGGGAGTTAAGGGCCATGTGACTATGCTACCAAGGATGGCATTCAAACCAATGACCTTCTGAAGACAGGCAACAGAGCTCCAACCTGTGTTGTGCTATATATCACGCTTTTACGTGTGTTAACCTCCAACCAAAACTGAAGCCGAGAAAGGTGAAGAGCAAATTTGGATACTGCAAAGAGCTCGATATTCACGAGAGAGAGATGCTGTTGGACCCTTGAGAGATATTTTCTGTTCCACAAACAAGTTATTAATGGGCTTAAATAGAATATTTGCAAATCACTCATTGGGGGGGGTACATCCAATAAAAATATGGCACAAAACAATACAAATTTTAACAAAAGTAATAAGAAAAAGTGCCACATCACATAAAACAGTCTCGGAGGTCCAGCCATTTTCTTTTGGATTCCAATAGTACCGCTGAATCTCCAGCCCCCTTTAATGACCAATTAGCACCTTGCAAAAGCCATAGTGAGACACCAGCAGCCCTTCTAACACCTAGTTTTCTGAACGACCGACCTTACTCAGCGGCAAGAGCCGACAGAGCTAAGTTTTCAAAGCTCTGTAAAGGCTTATTTTTAATCTTAGGGAGTGACATCAATGCGACTCACCCTCTGGGTGGGTGTTCAGCTGTGGAGGTGAAGCTACGTGGATTCACAAGCAGACAGCAAGTCTAAGCTCAGACTGTATCAGTGGGAGAGACACTTAACCCAACTGTCTGTCTCTCACATATAACAGACTGTATAATCTGATTTAAAAAGAAATTAAGGTGCCACTTAATTTGGATCACTGGCGAGGCAATTAAAAAATGCAAATGAATGAACGTGTGTGGGTGTCTATGCAGCAGCGACGAGGGGTTCAGATATTGTGAACTGTATTTCCAGATGCTGTAATCCATTCCGCCACACTGGGAGAGAAGTCCCGCCCCCTCACCATATCAGCCAATCAGGTAGCAGCATGGTGATTGTGACAGACAGCTGACTAGTTGGTGGTGGCTTTAAATACAAGAATCTCCAGATCATAGATGGTAAACATTTTTTTTTTTTCCATCTCCCTAGTAAATAATGCAAATTTCTAGACAAATGCTTGGGAATCGGTGCTGAAAGCTAAATGAAAGGAGAGGTAATGCAGAGTCTCAGAGTAATGGCTTCTTCTCAGCAAATGAATAATGCAGCCATCAAAATAATGCAGCAACCGTGCCTGCATAATCACTAGATTTCATTAATCTTTGAAGATGTGTGGCGCAGCCAATCAGATGCTCCCAAAACGGCCGGTGAAGGTGAATCAGGGACAATTATTCGTCTCTCTGCTTTACAATCATTCCAATTTCACATTCCGCCTTGGGTAAATACAGGACTGCAAGCAGTCACTCCAGATTTGCACAGTAATAGCCATTAGCTTCTCTTATTCTTCCGGCTTTATCTGTTAATTCATGTTAATTTAACTGCCCTAGTGAGATTGAGACTGTCAGACTTTGTCACATGACACGGAATTCCTCCTCCAGATTCTGAAGCATGGTTCCCCATGTCCCTCCCCTTCAGTAATAGATGAATAAAAGAAATGTTTGGTTATGGCCCCAACTTCAGACACACAATGATCGCACACACCTCGAGCGAACGCCAGGCCTCCCGCCTTCACGTCGGTGATTCGCAGCTGCTGCACACCTTCCTCTTCCAAAAGGGTTGCAGAGAAACCTGGGAGGAATAAGCAACAATGAGTAAGTTGTCGACACAGCGCCCCCTGGTGGTTGAGGGATAGGTGTGCGAGTTTCCCAGAATTCTGCCAACTTGGAGTTCTGAGCCCCGGTGGAAGCAGGGGACATAGGAACTGCTTCTGTATACATTACAACCATCTGCTAGGCAAATCAGTATAAGTAATGGCCCTGGGTAAAAGGTTATGATGACCACAATGATCAATACGCAGCAAGACATTCCAGTCTAAGCACATTCTTTCTTCTCACTGAAGCCTGGTTCACAGGTCTCACAGGGACCTACCGTAACCGATGGGGCATGACTTGTCCCGCTCAAACTGGATGAGCCTGGTGCTTCTGGAGCAAACTTCAATCTCTTGGTAGAGCTGAGGAAAGATGACAGTTTGGTGAACATCTCCTGTGTCCGTTTCCTCATGTGCTACCTTCAGGAAGGAACCTACACATCTTATTGACTTTGACATGTGATGAATCAAGAACAGGGGCGAGCAGAAGTGATCTGCTGGAAGGGGAAAGGGAATTTTAGCCAGAATCCTCCCAGTTTTTCCATAAGACCCTTAATTTCGCAAACCCTCTATAAAAATAGCAGACAAAGAAATAAATGCTAGAAATGCTCACCAAGTCAGAGACATCCTCATCAGGCTTGGGAATGTAGAATTGCACTTGGTTCTCGATCAAAAACTTCAGGCGTAAGTAATGTTTGGCAGGGTCCAGTTGGTGGGCCTGTGGGATGGGAATGTATCAGGAGATAGCTTTGATTGGTTGATGGGTAACAGGAGACGGCTTTGATTGGCTGACACCCGCATTTAAGAAATCTCATTTCAAGCTCATTTCAAATGCTAAATGATAATCGCCTAGTGAAATGGGAGATTAAACCCTCTTTGGCAGGACAGTCTAATTCGCCTAATTCATGTCTCCACTGAACAAACCGGTGGGGGGGGGGGAGCATGAAAGCCAGACATGTTGTGAAGGCTTTAAGTTACAAAACGCAGCTGGTCAACATACATGCTGATGCTGCATAGAACCAGCTTCACCGGAAATATGTAGATAAATAAAAACTAAGCCTTTTTTTTTTTTAAATATTACTCAAACACAGAATGGGAAGAAAGCGTAAAATCCATTAATATCATCTGAAAATGAGAAGACCATCTCGTTTCATCATCTGTGCTAGATCATCAGAGGAATACAGAAAACTTTTATGACGGATCTATTACTACCGAAAGGCTGATACTGATCTGATGAGTTATTGAAAAAACAGATCAATCTGTCGTTTTTTAAAGTCTCTTTTGTTCTCCCCTCCACACAATGGAAAAAACAAAACATTTCGGTAGCTGTGTCAGTGATTGCAAAGACCAGAGATAGTGACCATGTGGCTGGATATTGGATCGTCTGTTTGAACACCATCTCTCGACCAGATCTGCCTGGTTCTACGCGCCAGCACAGATATCAAATAGCATGACAACAAAACAAAAGGAGGGCTAAAAAAAACACAAAGCGAAATTAAGCTCTGGAAAAAAAAAATGGTGCACAAGGAAGGAGTCGACCACATCAGTGACCCGTCAGGTCCAGCCTCGATGGATCCTGCAGGTGCAGCCGGATGAGGACGAGCGATAAGCAAACTCTACCCGACAGGCAAAGCCCCAATGTTGCCGGAATTAGTTTCCATCTTCCCTGGGCGAGAGATCCCCCGCGGCGATCTTGGCACTGAACCGGAATAAAACGCAGCGACGGGAACCTGAGACGCCACACCTGCGGAGGCCGCTGGACCCGAGCCATCGCGCGCCGTGTCGCATATGTCGCATTTAGGGGGGAAAAGGGTGTTAGGGTGGTTATTATGATCCTGTGCCATGGACTCGTAACAGATGTTCGTAGCAGTTGAGATGGGCAATTCTGATATCAGATAGCAGCAGGGCGGGCCATCGTGGGAGACAAAAGCAAATCATGGGGGGGGAAAGCTGCCAAAACAGACAATAACAACAATAATAAATATTGCTATTATTATTGTTATTGTTACTATTGGTGTTTTCAATGAAAAAGCGGTTATTCTTATATCAGAGTATCATTCTGTACACCAACAAAATTATGCGAGGCAGAGTGAAAAGACTTGGAGAACAATGCCACCTACTGAACATCGGAAATAGGCTATGAATAACCAGCACCTCTCCATCCTTCTGCCCAGAGGCAGCGATAGTTTCTGGAGCGTGAAGCTGCTCTACACCAGAAGGAGCCCCTTCCTGGTGAATTCTCCAGGCTCTCACCTTGCAGATGGTCTCCAGGGCGTCGAGAGCGGTCTCCTCAGGTTGGATGATGGCCAGCACCGGTTGGTCGGTGGGCAAGCAAACCCAAGAAGGCTTGAGGTAGTCAGAAACCCAAATGTCAGCGTCCGCGTTGTGCTGGGGGATGTTTTTCACAGAGCCTTTTTCCTTCTGCAAAGACATGGATGGCACTGTGATGGGCAAGACCCCAGAAACTCCCACTGACCACAGGAAGATCTCTAAATCACTTCTGAGAGATTTGTTTATCCCCTACAGAATTAGGTTGGCCCATACGTCCTCAAAAACACAATAATAAAAGTGATTTTTATTGAATTACGCTTTTCACAAATGGCCTTTAATAGCAGATGACCAAAGATGCACCTCTTGGCATCTTTCCTGAACAAGTGAGGATGGTGCGCTCTGATTGGCTGGCTGGGGTCAAGGCCTCTGCAGAGCTCAGACTGCCTGTATCAGTCTCCCACTGAGCCCTGTACCATGGAGGTCTGTCACCTTGCCGTCTGTCAATATTACCCAGCGTGCCTTGCAGATGAGTTAGACGGCATAATCGAATGATCCAGTGATCCGGCCCAAATCACATCATATATGCGATGTGTGAGGCTGGCCCCCCTCGTGAGCCACCAAAGAGCTCGCATTCGGGAGTAAATAGGGGGAGATCAGTTTGCATAAAGCCCCCCAACTGTACCGCACCAGCCATCCCTGCCATCTGTCCCCTTATCAGCCCTTAATGGACATGCCAGAAATCCGAGGGTGGCACAGAACTGGGTGGCTCCCTTGTTCAGCAAAGGCACACTGCTAACGTGACACAGTTCAGCAAAGGGTTTTAACCCTAGAATGTTCCGGGTTAAAATTCCAGCTGAGAACTGGTGTCGCTACCACACGCGCCGACTGGCAGGCCTGAGTAAATACGAAACTCTATAAGTGAGAAAAATACAGCGAACTTTAAGACACAAGGCTGCTCCGGACTCCTGCATCAGTTAAACCAATGACTTAGTGATCAATTTAACTAATTCATTATTTTTATTATTATTAGGTTGCTGGGAACTGGACGCCTCACCACACTGTCCCGGGATGAGTTGAACATGCGGTCCAAAGGCTTCTTGTCGGGCTCCATACCATCAACGAACACCTGAAGGAATCACAGAAATCAGCCCCTCACACCCCAGATGCCGCTATCAGTCACTATCTGCTCATGATTACATCAGGACTGATTTTCTTATGGTCCATTTCTATTCATCTCCATTTAACAAACATACGTAGCAGTGTTGTGTTTCTCAGTGTTCTCACCCCCAGACAGTACACATTTTCACTCCCTCCCAGGCTCCCAGCCAATCAAGAACACCCAGTACCTGGAACAGCTGCTCGAGGAGCTGGGAGGGAGCAAAAATGTGGACTGACGGGGGCTCCCCGAGGACTGCATTGAGAAGCACTGATAAAAAGGTGTTTTATTCAAATTAAAAAATATATTAAAATGTGACTGGGTGGTTATGCAAATTATACAGACATATGTGTATGGATGTGTAAAATAATACTGACAAAATAAGAACAGTAGAAACAGAAATGGGGGGGCGATGATGGCGCGTGACGGGACCTGATTGAGACTGGGTCGCCCCTTCGTCTTCTTCTTAGAGGTAGTGTCCAGCCCCCAGAGGGAAGAAAACCTGCTCTTCCGTTTGCTGGACGAGCGCGATAATGCCTGGGTTCTCCTCCGCACCCCGCTCTCCGTGCGTGCCGCCACCTGTGGAGAAAGGCGTTCCTTCAGGGCCGCGGAGAAGGTGGGGGCTGGGAGGCTACGGCTCACCGTGTCCTCACCCCCAGCACACCCTCCCCGCCCAGAGCCTTGCCTCGCACCCTTAGGCACGTGAAGACGTGGCCACGTGAAGCCCTGGTGCGCGAATGCTCGTGCCATGAGTGTGAAGTGTGCTGATACACACCCACCCTGAAATTGCATGTGAATATTGTGGATTGTACACAAAGGCTGGATTGAGTAAAATCGGCTATGAACTACAGACATGGATCCAGTCGGTGGAAATCGCCCCGAGCCAAATAAGCCAAAGCAACAAAGTCGATACAAGACCTACAGGATGCATTTGACCGATTACTGAAAACCGATAATGGCACTGAGATCTTCTTAACTGGACATTCACTGATATATTAGCAGATTGATCCCATGTCACCTTACAGCCACATTAGCAGGAGCGGAACTGAGTCTGCTGCTGATTATAGAGGGCGAGGAGCGGACAGACATGCTCATCTGTCAAGTGCGAGTCACACGATAACAGAGAGCAGCACATCTGGGTTTGAAGAGGAGGAGGAGGACCTCGCAGCCCTGCTTATATCCGGCAGAAACCCCTTATGAAGCATTTCTTGGAATCTATGGTGGAGGTTTAAGCTGCTGCAGGTCTCACATGCTACAAATGCAAATTCAGCAAAAAAAAAATTGTTGACATTTTTTTTTAGTATGCTACTTTGAAAAAGGACCTGAGGGCAGATGGGGGGGGGAGGGGGGGGGCATGGAGGAATCTCTGTTGCCACACTACGGATTAAAAACACTTCTCCCCGTCCCTCCCAATTTAAAGACTCTGCCTCTTTAAATCCGTGATCAACAGACTTGAGGCTACAGGACAAAGGATGTTGACACAAGCCCCTGCTCTCACCCCACCCTCCTCTGAGCGCCAGACTCCCAACAATCAATGAGAGACTGGTGATTTTATGCAACTGTGACAAATCAGAGCAATGAGTCCCAGGGTGTGACTGGACGCCTCACATTCCATACTAACACATGGAGAAATGAATTACGGTGAAAATAATGGCACATTTAGCTGCAAATTGAGCATTTAGATGACATGGCCCTGTTTAGGGTGACACTGCAGGAACAGCTCATGCAATGACTACAGGGGTGTGTGCCAGAACGTGCCCCATAAAGCATTTACTGCTTTCCACGAGTCAGTAAATTCAACTTCGCGTTACTTAAAGCCCCGATGGCTTCCTTTCGGTCCCCATGAGCGTAAACGTTTTATCATCCCGTCAAACCACCTACGCAGGGACGAGCGTACCAGAGCGTGGAAGGACGAGACGGAGAAGATCCCCAGACGGCCCATGACCAGCTTGGTGGGGCGGGAGGCGAAGGCGAGCAGGCGCTTGGGATTGGGCAGCTCGCCGCCCTGCAGGCTGGCCAGGTAACAGCGGAACCGGAACAGATCCACGTGGAACTGCTCCAGGTTCTGCTCCCACAGAAAGATCTGGGTCGGAGGCAGAGAACAGAAAGAACGTGTAAGGGTTCAGCCACAGGAAGATAACTAACCTTCATTGCACATAAACTTGGACATAAACTGTCACCTCATATTGCCAATGAAATCATTCCATTGTTCTCATTATTCATCATTCTAATTATTTGTATACTGTTGTATATTTTCTGCACTGGGCTATCTGGGTAGTCCCATTGCACCTTATCCAAATGCCTTGTTTTGCTTACCAGTATATATTCTGTGTTGCTGATTGGTTATCGCTCTATGATACCACTTTGCTATTTCTGTCATTTTTGTTAATCGGGCCAGTTACCCCAAAACAAATTCCCTGTACTCGGGCTGTACATGGCGAAAAAACTGGATAAAACTGAATCTAATTCTGTGGTAGTGAGGGTTTGCGTAGAGCTCCATCCTGCTTCTCTGACACTCCCAGACTTCACGTTAGGGATTAAGGACGGTGCCATTCGGCTTAACCGCAGCGCCGGTGCAGATGTACTGCCCGGGCGGAATGGGACTGCGGTGACTGTCCGCTGGGACTTAACCTATCAGTCACAGAACTGTAGAGACAGAGATAACAGGACTGCCAGATAAGGAGAACAAAGCAGGGTGTTGTGCAGGCAGCTAAACAAAGGCTTGGTCTGTACTTCTCAGCTTCAAACAGACCAACACACAGGCTAGAATTCACTAATGACTGCCCAGGTGGTCCCTGTTTACCGCCACAAACAGACATGAGCTAAAGTCCAAGGTTTAGGTGCGATGATGACAAAGAATGCAAAAGTAAACCGCTTTCAGTAGCTAGTAATGCCACAGATTCAGGGTGTAGTTATGATTTTCATAATCTCATCTGAAAACCTGCTTTTAAATTACTGGAGTTACGGCTTTGTGGGTGGGGGGGGCTACGCCTCACATCAGGCCCCATTGTCTCACACCGCTCAGGCATCCACTGCCTCCCAGTACCTGTTCCAGTATGGTCTTCCGCTTCTTGCTGTCGGTGACGGTGGACAGCTGCATGTCACCCATCTTCTTCATCTTCTCGTCCATGTCGATCTTCTGCTCCAGCTTCTTGATCTCCGAGCGCAGCAGGCGCACGGTGTCCTCGCGGTGGTGCTGTCGGGCCACCGCCGCAGCGCAGGCCGAGTGAATCGCCGTGATCCAGTTCTCCAGCTCGGTCTGGCTGGACGTCTACAGACGAAATGAGGAGGGGGGATGGAGAAAGCGTGAATGCCAAAGAGCTTACTGAGAATTCCAGCTTAAGGCGAGTACCGATCTCAATGGCAGAGATACGCGATAAGTCACCGCTCTCAAACTTAAATATCATCTACATGTGACATTAAATTGTGGGCAGTGGTGGCTTGATGGTTAGGGTAGCGCACTTGTAATTGAAAGATTGCAGGTTCGAATCCCCCACCAGCAAGTCACCACTGAGGTACCCTGAGCAAGGTACCGTCCCCAAGCACTGCTCCCCGGGCCCTGAATTAGCTGCCCCCTGCTATGTCACGAAAGTCACATATGGGTCAAATGCAGGGGTCACATTTCGTTGTTGCGCACTGTGTGCTGTGGTGTGTTGACAATGACCACTGATAACTTAATTCTGAAGGTCCAGAGGCTGGGAAGCCTTCTCCAAGGCAGACAGAATGAGATATTTTTTTATCCAAGAGAAACATGTGAGAGAACAAAAAAAAAAAAAGATGTAAAACAAAAATGAGAGATCGGTCTGCAAGCCAGATTTAATATCAGATTAACCGCATGTCATGCACGGCCCATATAAAACCGTATCGCAGGCTAGCAGTTTGAGACCTCCATCATAAGGAATATGACTCAAAACGTCCCACTTGAGGCGGTCTTCTTTGTATACACTTAGGATAAATCACATCACTTTGGAGTGATGTAGCGTCCATTTCCAACATGCCTCATCTCTGTCGCTTGTGTCTGTGTTTTACATATTTCTGATTGGGTTCCTGTGTCTGAATAGCACGCTTCACAGAATGCCAAATACATTAGAGCAATCTGGATGACAGAAAAACCTGACAGGTATCAATCTGTGTTCTTAGAGTACCAGGACCTCATTTTGTTCCAAAGGATCATTTGTTAAAACTAATTATCTCCCTTTGTGAGTATTCACAATCCTCTTCTCAGTGGTGAGACTGTCAGCATATCAAATAGTCTATAATAAAAATAAGAATAAACCACATGGGGGGGGGGGTGTCTTTGCTCAGGAATACTGGACAAGGACACAGATGTGGCAAGAGCAGAATCTGCATTGCAGACACGGCAGCGTAGCAGCTAAGCTGACAGGACGGAGAGTACACGCCGCTCACGGTCCAGCCACCTGGAAGAGGAAGGCGTCCCCCAGGGAGTTACTGAGGCAGAACACAAAGTCCTTCTTGGGATGCTCGGGCACAGCCTGGACGATGCTGTTCTCCACCCAGACGGCGTGCTTAGGAACGCTGTTGTGGTCGATCCCAGAACGTCCATCCGTCTCGTAGAAGAACAAAGTACAAGCTGAAATATGGGACAGAGAACCAAATTATCAGGTTAGCAATGTGTCCCCCAGTCTCGACCACTGGGGTGAGACTGTACTTCAACTAGATCGACAGGAGAGTGTGCGGTCTATCACAAAACCTCTCGTTTAAGGTGCAGAAACGGGAAATGAATCTGAGAACACAAACGGATCACACGGACCCAGCCCTGCACTTAAGGATCCACTCCTTTAGCTGTAAGCGAGAAGTTCTGCTCACCAGAAATCAAATCCAAATCAAATCACTTTACTGTCACTTGACACTTGGTAAACACAAGCCAGTGAAACACTTGTGTGCCACAAGAGCAATGATTAAGTGGCGCAAATAAAACAAGAAAACAAAATGAGACAAGACAATAGTGCAATAGGAAGCATACAGGAAATAGTGATATACAGCATTGTACTACTAAACAGTGCTCAAACTGGAACAATAGATAGACACAACAAACAGCCTTATGAGTATGAGGACGGGTGGTGGATATGGATGACAGAACGGATCACTGAAGCCATGATTCCAATTAATCGCATGTCAAAGACAGGCACTTCAGGGTTTAGTAATGTTCTGGGATAAATTAGATTACATTGTAGCAGAGGACGACATTGGCGGGAGGAGTCACACATCTCATTGTTCATGCATTGTATCAGAGTGTGAAATGTAATTACGTGGCCCTCCAGCAAAAACAGAACAAAAGCTGAATTTAAACAAGAACCCACCTTTGAGGGAGACCCAATAGCGTTTCCACTTGCGCCGGGCCGCCGGTTCTACCTTCTTATTCTTCTTATGCACCAGGAAGTTCTTGACGGCGAGGGCACCAGCCTTGCGCACGGTGCCCTGGACGGTGGTGAGCAGGGCGTCGGACTGGTAGGCGGAACTCAGGGTGCCGCTGCTCTGCTCGTCGCTGACCGCCGAACCGGCCTCCTCTGGGCACTCCGCCGTCCGGTACGAACTCATCTCCAGCTCCTGGCGGAAGTTCTCGTACACGCCCTGGATACTGTCACTGGGGCCCGGTCCACCGCCGCCACCGCTGCTGCTCCCGCTATCGCTACCGGCGAACATGCTGCTGCCCACCGTCGAGTACATGGAATAGGATGCAGACATGGCCTTGCAGCGCCGCGGCTGCGGCTCGGCCTCCGCCGCCACTCCGTCGATGCCGCTGTCGCCGAATTCGCTGCCCTCTCCTGCTGTGACATCCTGCAGGCACAGATACCAGCTTGGCTCTCTGTGGTCTATCATCTGCATGTGACAAATTCCCTTTCCCTGGAGGACTGAAACCGTCTGTGTAATTCCCGAATTATACGCAAAGGTGATCAGACACGTCTTCATACATCAGAGCTGGAACACTGTGGATCAAGTCGCATCACACGGGCCCGGAACAGGTGCCCAACCCTTGGGATGATGCAAGGCCGCGGGGTATGTATGTGTAGTCATGCAACCCGGAGGCCAAGGGAAGCCAAAGGGTGAGGCAGCGTCACAACACATTAATCAAAAGTCAAGTGCAATGAGCTCTCTGAATCGGATTGCTAACTCATCCTCATTACAAAAGAGCGAGCACTTCCCAGAACAGAGAATACGAAAAAAATGTTGCACTTCTAGTGACCTCTGAGTGAACTCAAGGGAAACTGAACAGCGAGCCTCTCGGACGCAGGACTTGCAAGCAATTTAAGCGACGTGCTGCTGGCTATGTGAAAGTGCGGCGAGGCGTGTGGTGCCGATGCCATGGGAAACGGTGGGGAAACGGTCCAGATGATTTGAAATTGAAATGAGGGGGAATGTGTTTGGGCCAGTCTGATCATAATAAGACCTTCTCTGTGTTTTTACATTTGACCCTTTCGGCTTCTGAGAGACGCACAGGCAGTGTAAACGGGGGGGGGGGGATGACTAAGCTTTGAGATTGCCGCTCACCCTCTGCAGATTGCCGCCCCCCCCCCCTCCCCTAAATCTGGGTTATTCACATCACATTGCATTTCACATATATAGACAAGATGGCAGAAAGCTGCAGTCCAAGGTCCACAAGGGCAAACAATACACATTCACATAATTGCTGATGTTCTCAACAGTTGTTCTAGACCAGTGTTTCCAAACCAGTCCTTGGGCTCCCCCAGACAATCCACATACTTGCTCCCTCTCAGCTCCCAGCACACCGGTATCAGGTATTCGGGTTCTTGACTACATGTTTAGTTCAGGTATTCTGGGGACTGTCTGGGGGTCCCTGAGGACTTGGTTGTAAAACACTGTCCTGCACTGCAAATACTGAAAAGAAGCTGCCTGGAGGAATTGATTAGGCAATAATGAATACAAGTGAGAGAGCTACTCACGTTAGTGGTCTGAGCCCGCCGGACCTGCATGGTGGTGCACAGCACCCCCTGCTGGCTCTCTGACAGACAGTGCGAGCGGCGGCAGGGCAGTGTGTACGCACTGTAGGCACTGCCATCGTCGTCAGCAGGAGACAACAATTTGTTGTCGCCCTCAGCGGTCGCCCTGTTGCCGTCCCGGGAGTACTTGGGAAGGCGGTGCCGGGGGCCTCGCAGGGAAGGGACCTTTGGGCTGCAGAGTCGGTCCAGGGAAGCGGCACGGTCGGGAGTAGACAGCGGCTCTCCAGTGGGCGTGGGGCTGGGTGGCGGCGGCTCGTCCACATCGCCAAAGTCCTTCTCGTCGGCGGTGTCGATGATCTCCTCTGTGCTGGTGAGGTTCTCTTGGCTGAGGTCAGACAGCGAAAACTCCAGGCTGTCCTCACGCCACATGTCGGCCGACTTGGACCTCTTCTGCTTAAAGCCTCCATTGGCGTCTCCGCCAGCTTCCCGCGGCCCGTCTTTCACCCTCTGCAGGTAGGTCTCCTCCCTGGGTAGCGGTACCTCCAGGTCTGGGGTCACCACCAGTGCCTTGTTGGCATTCGCAGACGTTTCCGCTGGGTGGTGGTGAAATGAGACGGGCCGCAGGTTCATTGCCACGCGGTCCACCCAGATGGGGCTTCCGAAATCTCCCAGGACGTCACTGTCGTTGTAGAGGTCCAGGCCGTTGTCAGCCAGCGACTGGGGGATGCTGGGGGTGCTGCTGGACCTGGTGCTGGTCTCCGAGTTGCGGTGCTCCGTCTTGCCCGTGGAGGCGTGCCGAAGCCGGCGTGACTGCTTGCCGGAGATGCGGAGGGACCTGGACATGTGCTTGCGGGAGAGGTGGCCATGCTCATCGCCAAAGAAGGCGTGGTCCCCATTCTGACTCTCTACGTTTCCCATGGCTCAACGTCTGCTGACGGCACTAGAGAGGGAGAAATCACACAAAGGACTCCATGTTTACTTCAGAAAATCCATCAAAGGTCACAAGAGGCAGGTCGTTCCCAAGGTTCCATTCTGCTGTCCACAAGCGACATTCTCATTCCGCGTTCCCTACTCTAGCAGAAAGCTCTTCGCCTCTCTCTTCCTCACTCCCGTTATCAACAACACGGCCTCAGAGTACTCATAAGTACCACGGGAACATGTGAGCAATGCTTGAATGCTGGAAATAACTCTGACGTACAGAGTTAACGGAGGAGTGAGAACTCATGATAGAACATCTCGGACTGCCTGCCCCCACAGCCCATACAGAGAAGCCATCTGTGTTCAGCTTAGAGTTTGGAGTTGACAGTTTAACACTGATGAAGAAAGAAGAAAAAGAAGATGACACAGAAGATGAAGAAAGACAAAAGAAAGAAGAGGAAGGAAGAGAAGGACTAGGAAGAGGAAGTCCAGCAACAACAAAGCAGAAACCCACTTCAATAAGGTTGTATTTAAGGCATAGATACCATTATATAGACAGAACTGTACTCTTCCTATTATCTGAATCTGAAACCTGTGGGACTTTAACCACAGCGCCACCTGCTGTCCACATTCACCATACTATGCATGAAAGATGCCAGACAGACAAACAGCAAGCGGATAGGGCCTTACCTGTGGCAGGTTAATGGGTTTACTGACATCTCCAGAATATCCGGTTTCCCTCTCTTAAAGACCACATGAAAACGAAGGGCGTGTCTCCAGGCTCTGGGAAATAAGAAAGAGAAAGCCTAATCTTTAACCACCCACATGCATCGACAAGTTCAAGAACTCCCAAAACATACCAGAGCTTGTTGGCAGGGCAGCAAAAGCCATATTAATCCGAACAGCCCATTAGAACATCGGAGACTGGAGCATCTCTGATGAGCTACTACACTGAAGACCGTCTGCAGCAGAGCTTGCAAGAGCACACAGTGTGACCACAGCGGGCAAGACTGTGAGAAAAACGCCAGCAACCCCACCCAGTTTTAACTTGAAGAATGGGGAACCTGAACGAGCGAAGAAGTGCGCACAGATCGTAAATAAACTAGCAATACTGGTGGATGATGCCCTGCAGCAGAAACACTGCTGCTCTAACGGCCACACACACAGAAATCCACACTAATATTTACACACAGTTTCTGCACACAAACACCCCCTCATATTTACACATGCCTACACACTCTCATATTTACACTGACTCCTGTTTCACAGAGATACTGTCTCTCTCTCACACACACGATCACACCCCAACTGATGTTCATGGACAGACCTACGATGCACCAGTATGCGTGAAAGTGCAAAACGTGCACATACATTATTTAAGCCCACCTGGTCAGGACGATGCCCTTGAACGCCGCGGGCAGCTGCGAGGGGCATTTAAAGCACATTAAAGCTCTTAAATGGACGCCTGTCACATATAGCTGAACTCTTGCTTGACAGTAGTGGAATACTAAAAATGTTTGGGGGGGGGGGGGCTCAATGACCTAATTTCCACTTATCTGACCCCCGTGGTAATGGGTGATGCTCATGTCTGTCCGATGGTGACGCAGGCAGCATGTGCCATGAGGAAATGAGCTCACCTTCGCGATGGCTGCTCACCATGACAGTGCAGTGGCAGCGGCAGTAGCGTAGCATAGCGGTCAATAACCCTTTGCCCTTCTGGGGGTCAAACACCTAACCCTGACATTCCCATTAAGTGCCTATATACCTATAGCATTCAATTAATGACATGCGCCACCTAGTGTACACACCCAGAATTACAAACCTCCCAGCGACATTTGGCTTCAACACCATGAATGACCAAGGCAGAGTGAGAGTAAACAGACAGTGTTAGATGTGCATGCGCAAGATGGGCTAGCAAACAATGGTGGCTGCTGTTAATCTCTGCTATCATGCTCTTAAAATACCATCTCAACAAATTAATCGCCCCTCTGTGACCTACAAAGTCAGTCGACTCTTTGGAAACTCCACTCTCCACTAAGCCTTCTTCTCAACGCACATCTGCTGAGTTTGCAGGGCGCGGTGTCAAAAAAACGGAGAGACAAACATAGGGTAACATCCACAGCCAGCGTCAGCCGAAAGGTCAGATCAATGAGGAGAGTCACCCAGCCCAGTGAAGCACCAGCCTCGGGGAGAGAAAAACTGTAAACGATCTGTTTGTGCCACATCTCTCATGGGAGAGGCAGGCAGTTCTATGCCATACCAACCCCCCCCAAAACTTCAACAGCCAAAGCACCACCTGCCCTTGGCTCAGTACCTTCCCTCCAACTAAATAAGCTAAATAGGACGCCCCCCCCCCCTCATAACTCGGGGCACTGCTTCAGGGATATGAGCACTTTCAACTGCTATGCTACCTGGTGCCCCCTTGTGGTACAAATGGAGTGCTGCTATTTCACAACATCCCATGTTGGGGGGGGGACGGGGACACGGGCGTGCTACGTCCTCAAGAAGTAATGAATTTGAAGTGACGCACTAATTGGCTGCTTAACAAGCACTCACGTGCCTGCAGCCAGAAGACTTGAGTTCAGCGTTTGTGCTACCAGGCTAACATCCACATTTAAAACTTTTAATCGGAGACACCCCAACACGCCCCTCCCCGTGTGGAGGTCAGTGCTATACATTGGCATAGACTCCTTCCCAACCCACAGGAGCGATCTCATTTTTCCAGGATGTTTCACCTGTGCGTGACGACGACCGAGGGCCCAAAATGAAAGCAAAAAAAACAGCCGTAGAAGTTGCCTCCCAGACCCATGCACCAGTGAGATTAACCCTTTCAGAGCGGAAGGTAACTCCAGCCCCCACAATCCCAGACCCTATTCCAATGTGGACTCCCCGGGAGGATGAATTCACAGACACAATAGCACCAGGAAACAGATAACTCCTGCTTCCCTGATTTAACCCCCCCCCCCCCCCCCCACCCCCAGGAGCTCCCTGCTGTGGCCAAACCGACCTTCCCCACTGGCCTCAGGCTGCGGCCTTTTCTTGTTATACCTTCCCAAACCTCTTTGTCTAACCCTGCATTAGGCCCACCTTCATCTCCACATGGGGCCTTCATCACCCTCACGGGCAAAAGCCCCCGCCCCCCCCCCAAGGGCATCGATGGACACAAAGAAGCTCCGCCTGACTGGTGTGTGTCATGGCCAAACAAAAAAAAAAAAGACCAAACAAAACATTTAAAAAGAAATAAACAGGCATAGCTAACTAAGCAACAGTGGTACCATAGTACCAAAATGCCGCCAACCCTAGAATGGCACTGAACAAATCTGAACAGTAACTGAACAGTAACTGAACAAAACTGAACAGTAACTGAACAAAACTGAACAGAATTCAGCCATTTCAGACCTGTCTGCAGAGTATTTCATCCTGACACACCAGCTCTAGTCCAACCTCATACTTCACCTCTCCTCTCCTATCCCCACAGGCGAGTTTGCAGTCCAGGTTTTAGGTTTCGATTTCATCCCAAGCCCCAGTGAGCAAGGAAGCGGGCAGCTTCCCTCTCCTGTCGAGTGGTGGGGGGAGGGGCTGGGTCTTTGTCTCAGTTTTTCCTGAGTAGATTTACCCACCACAGGACAGTGGGTTAAGTCCCTGTGCAGAGACGTATAACGGCAGATGAAAAGCACATCTGACTAATGATGGAAGAGCAGTCATGACAGCATAAGGGGCATGTGGAATAGGTCAGCCAGCTCTTCAGCTTCTCACTGTTACTCAGAGCCGGCGGACCCACTGCTCCGGCGTCTCAGCTCAGTCTTCTAAACCTGATCCCTTTCCTCCAGATCTAAAAACAAGTCCACTGCATTCTTCCACGCACTTACTACACACCACATATCTACAGATGACCACAAACTCAGAGGAAAGTTAATAGCAGTCTCAGCGAACACGTTGCTTTCACACGTTGGAGTGGTTTGGTCGTCGCGAAAAATTGGTGTTTTTACCACTTGCGGTCTTTGAGTAGGACTGCAAGCGCGTTGGTCAGCAGTTCTCCTCCCTCCCTGACTATCGCAACACAGAAATGAGGTATTTCGCATTTACAATTGACAATTACACTCACTCATGCTGCTCTGACTCTCAGACACACTGCAGGATAATTACAAGATTGTCCGGAATATTCTCCTGTCAGATTAATTAGGCCTGCTTAGGACCCCTGGCGTTTCTCCTTTCAGTAATATCAGTGAAGCATGTCTCCTGGGGTCACTGAGGTCCAGAAGCTCCCTCTAGCGGGGATGTCGCCCCCTGGCTGCGGAGTGCAGGTAAAGCGGTGTAACCGGAGCAGCCTGGCTGACAGAACTCAGGTGTCTGATACCATCGCTGCCTAGCCTAAGGACATGGCCCTCGCTTCCGCGAATGACAGGTAGGACTCTTCACGCTTTATTAGAAGGCCCTCGCAGAGGTGGGGCGTCCCCCACCCCCCCGCCATCTCCCAGGCCTGTCGGGACAGGACTGGAGTTAGACAGGTTCTGGGGGTTCTGCACCTGCCTGTAACCCCCCCCCCCCCCCCGCCCCAGGTGGCTAACGCAACGACAATTACAGAGAAAAATAGTAAGGAGTTGCCCCACAACTGAAAGCCTGAATAATGGATATTTATGAAGAAGAGAGAGAAAAGCAACAGCCAGCAGGAAGTCGCTGAAAGAGACAGAACAAAACAGAGAAATGTTCATAAAACAAAGTCAGTCCCTGAACAAAACAAGGAAATATGCTCATAAAGAACCACACACCTCCTGGTCGAGAAAATCTCTCAGGAGCTGAAAGAAGGCAAGCAAAAAAAACAAAAAAACAACCCAACCCTCAATAGCTCCGTATCACCTGAGGCAGCGGAGAAAATCCAAAATCTCCTCTGTGTTGCAAAAAACCTTCTTTCCGGAAGCATTCCTGCCTGGGCCGGCAGATGCAGGGTCCTGCAGAGGGTCATACGGCGTGCTGAGTGAATTACCAGGACAAAACTGCCCACCCTGCAGGACACCTACATCCAGCAATGTACATCCACCAGGGTGTTTAGTATAATCAAAGACACTCAGCACATGTGCCAAAAACTGCTCCAGTGGCTGTTCTCAGGTTGGCCTCTCTGGAGCCTTATGACCAGAACTGAGAGGCTGGGGAGAAGCTTCTGCCCCCAGGCCACTAGGATCATCAACTCCCCCAAGTGAAATAGGCTTCAGCTGCTCCAGTGGCTGTTCTCAGGTAGGCCTCTCTGGAGCCTTATGGCCAGAACTGAGAGACTGGGGAGAAGCTTCTGCCGCAACCTGCACTTACCTCAAATATTTTCAGAAAACTTTTTATCTTTACTATATATTTTTATTTTTCGGTAACTTATATTACCAATAATATTTTTTTTTGCTATCCATCTACCTTGTATGTTGCACGGTCTGGAGCAGCAGCAGTCCCTGCTGATGTACCGCCCACTACATTCATGCACGTGACAAATAAAAATCTGGAATCTTGAATCGGCGGCGGAAACTTCCAGAGAGAAAAAAAGAAAAGTGGCGGAAAGGTCAGCTGAGTCAGCCGACGAACTCTTCCCCATGTCCCGGTGAGCGAGTGACCACCCCCTACCGGGTCAGCTCCAGGAATTCCGGAGCAGCCCCCACACACCCCCCCTCCGTGCCCTGAGGGTCTGCCCCTTTTCTGGCATGCTTCAGTGGGATTCCGGCAGCGTGTGCGGTTACACGTGGGTGTGCGGGTGGCCCGATCGTAACCTGAAGCCGGCCCGCCAGAAGCGACGTCCACAGAGC